GGCACACTGCGGGTCTAAATGTGGCCATGGGCCAGCAGATCTGAATACTCCACATTAACCACATAACTCACATTCACCAAATGCAGAGAGATGGACCCTCCTTACACTGGGCAAATATTTAACATATCACTTCTGGCCTGCTAAAATAACAAATCTAAAGGTCTGATAGCATATTCGACAAATCCCAAATCTATTTAGAAATAAAACACACTGAAAATCTCATTCCTTCTATGTTATTTCCCCCCATATACGGCTCATATATTATGAATTATAAACATATGGGCTGTGTTCCAGTACTTAGTGAGCTGCCTTGCAGTCTACTAACTATAGTCAGCACCCTTCAAACTAAAAAAAATGACTGATTTGAAACGCTCTGCATATTGCTGTCGACAGGATAATAAATTATGCTTTTATTTATGCCACAATAAGTACTGCTTTTTTGGTAATTAATGAATTTTAAGTATATTTATAATCAACATTTCTATTTCTGCAACCACCATGGATGGATTTTACTGAGTTTTGCCACAAAGCATTACAGGATTTCTCTGCAAAAAAAATAATTAATTAATTCATATTTATAAATTATAATAAATTAGTAAGTATTAAACTATTAGTATTAAAACAAAATATGAATAATAATTTTATTTGACCGCAAATTTCTCACAGAACACTATTATTATTGGAAAAATACAAATATGCTTTTTTTTTTGTATGTTTAACATTTATTTCTTCTTTCTCTGCAAAAAAAAATATTTTTTTGAAGTTGTAAATAAAAGATTACCACGATTACTAATGCTAGTTCAGTTTTTCTTTCATTTAAGCTTTAAAAAATTAATTTTTCCAAATGCACGTGCAATTCTGCCTTTAAATTTGGCAAAACGAAGGAATTTTAAAGCACTGCATAATCACATTTCTAATAGCTTTTGTGCCTGGATCTTGCCAACGATGCTTCAAAATGCTGCGTATGGAGGTTCAAGCGTTGAAACAGAACTGTGTTTCAGACAATTTATACTGTGCTAAGAACACACGCAAGACTGTGTTGCAAACAGCTGCTCACGCCACACAAAATATTTCCTGTTTAAAGCAACACAGCACTGCATGTATGAAAATCTGAGCGACAGAAAGGGAGGAGAGAGGAAGAGGGGAAGAGAGATGAAAATGAGAAACACATTTTCGTCCCTCTAGAGGGTCGTGGGCGTGGGACGGAGAGAGCGAGAGAGAGAATTACACTCAATCCAGGGGTTTCACCATCATACCGTTAGTGAAAAACCTCTGAAACTGAAAAAAGTAGTTGATAAAACTGATCATTTCGACTCCTAATTAATGAGCCACGTTTAAATAATTTTAATATGTCCAAAATGCATTAACATGCGTAAGCTGCAACAACTTCTGACAACTGTAAAGATATTACAGAACTATTACTTGCCAAAAGAATTGATTATCAATAGTTATTAATTATTGGCTTTTTCTGTCATATTGATGTTGCCAGGGTTGTTTTAAAGCAACAAGCGGCTAGAAACCCCCTGCAACCCTACAGAGGATAACCAGTGAGGAAAAAAATAGATTGATAATCAAACAGAAGTGAGTATCACACCCATTAGCCATAGATCTGTAATGGCCGTATGGTAAAACCAGCAGACAGACGCTTCAGTCTTTCTCTTTCTCTGACTGACAGACTGTCAAGACACCAGTGACACACACATGAGCCCAATCTGTGATAAGAGCAAAAACACAGACATCCCACAACACAACAGGCCTAATGATAATAGTGATAAACCGATATATCGGCCAAGCATGAATGGCCATTTAGTGTCTATTCTAAGTGGATAGTGTGCATATTCCTGACACAAAAGAAAAACTAACTTTACTGGCATGAAATAAAGCAAGGTTTTTTTAAACGGTCGCAAGGAAGGGGGTAAAAGTTGAAAGAAAAACAGTGCAAAAATATAAAAAAATTTTTTGCTTAGCATTAAAAAGAATTAAAATAAACAAAATAAAATAAATAAATTTGATGAAAATAAATAAATGATTTACATACACATATATATATAGTAAAATGTATATAAATCTCACTTTGTGCAACTAAGAAACAACATGAGCCTATCATTGATCAAATCTAGGTTATCATATTACTATATTGTAGATGACATAAACAAATACCACTTTAAAAACACACACGCAAATAACCTGAAGATAAACTACGTTGTCGACATTCTCCATAAAATCACACAAGTTCAACAAAGAAACCCAAATTTTGCAGATTACAAAATATGTCCAACTTTATAAGTGGCAAATGAAAAGACTTTTATTTTCATTTGTGCGCGTGCAGAGTTGCAGTGGCCCTCGCGCGACTGTCCACTCTAACGTTACACCTAATAATCGTTACCGAAGGCCACAATCGTGTCAGAAAACGGCCAAATGACCTCCAAATCACAAGAAGTGTCAAAACATACACGACAAACGCGTTTGTCCTGCAGAAAGCGAACGCTAACGCCACTAGCGTAACTAGCGTTGAGGCCGCGCTACTAAAACCCTGAGGAGAATAATCCAGAGAGAACGAAAATTAGAAACAGAAACTTACGCTTATGTGGGTCTAGATGTGCGGTTGGAGTGGACAACGACTCGAGGACAGTCGGTTAGCTTGAGGTTTTTCTCCGTTAGAGGGATTTTGTCCACTGTTTCTTTCTGCAACCGTTTGTTTCTGTCGGTACGAGTCTCTGGGGCGCGGCGCTCTGGAGCCGCTGAGGCGAAGAGGCTTCTGATTGGTCCGCGTCACACGAACTCCCGCCCACTTCGCAAAACAGAGCCTTTGATGTGAGGCGCCCACAGCAGTGATAGGCGGGGCCTGTACGTGCGCTTAAAAACAGCGAGCTCGGTGTGCGTAATCTGTTGTTTTGAGAGACTGTTGGGTGGAGTATATATGTTTTTCAGTAAATGAGTATTTTTAAAAGCTTAAACTTTTTAGTTCGAATTGTTTACACCTGTATATTCTGTATATTCTAATACATACATATATATATATATATATAGTTATGTAATTAAAATAATGAAATAAATATGCCACTTTTGCCAGTTCTCAGGTTCACCACATGAGGTCGCCACTTTACATTTTACTGTATTCAGCAAGCTATTAAATACCATTTGAGGTCATTAGTCACTTGTGTGGTCTTGTAAATTGTACATTTCAGTTCTGAGATGCTTATATGTGACCCTGGAGCACAAAAGCAGTCATAAGTAGCACAGGTATATTTGTAGCAATAGCCAACAATACATTGTATGGGTCAAATTATCGATTTTTCTTTTATGCCAAAAATCTTTAGGATACTAAGTAAAGATCATGTTGCATGAAGATATTTAGTAAATTTCCTACTGTAAATATATCAAAACTTAATTTTCTATTAGTAATATGCATTGCTAAGAACTTCATTTGGACAACTTTAAAGGCAATTTTCTCAATATTTTGATTTTTTTGCACCCTCAGATTCCAGATATTCAAATAGTTGTATCTCGGCCAAATATTGTCCTATCCTAACAAACCATACATCAATGGAAAGCTTTCAGATGATGTATAAATCAATTTATTTTTTTAATGGACCCTTATGACTGGTTTTGTGGTCCAGGGTCACATATAATGCAGTATGTATATGCGTCATCTAATGTAGCTTACATATGTGTAGGATATCAGACCGAATCAGACAATCTAAGATTTGGTCAAACATGGCTGA